TGCTAAATTAAGATTACCACTTTAGATCGCGTTTCCCGGTTGCGAACAAGTTCGAGTGAGCAGGACTTTAAGTTCGGGCTCAAACGGGTGACAGGGTAACCTTCAGTTGCTACACGAAACTTTTGATTTCAGACTGTCGAGCGCTATGACATCGAATCGAACACCTGGTCTGATGTGGCTCCGATGAATATACGACGGGGTGGTGTTGGCGTCAGTGCTCTTGGTGAGTGCCTAGTGACTAAAGAATTTTCTCGAACGTATGGAAAATTGGGTATAATGTGCTATTGGCATGTGTTATCCTTCAAAGATCGACTAGTGCAGCTTAAACCTTTCACAGGCAAGTTCTTATTCGCTGTTGGAGGCAACGATGGTTCATCGTCATTGGATTCATGTGAACGATACGATCCTGTACTTGACAAATGGAAATTGGTCTCAAAAATGACGAATCGAAGGTGAGATTACTGAAGAAAAACTGAGACTTTTTAAAACACCTTTTAGCTTTTGATGCTTTTATGTCCCTGTTAAAGGCCCTTTTTGAACTAGCCAGATAAAGAGACACTCATTGCGTCTTTTTCACGCCCTTCATCATCTTGGAAACGGGGGATCTTCATAGAAAAAATGGGAAAAGTTTCCGTACACCCGATTATCGTGGAACCTACTTTGAACTAGCGCTGCTTTCTTTGACAGCTAACTGTTGTGCCTAATCTTATCGATACCGACATATTTCAGAGCTGGTGCTGGTGTTTGTGTCCTGGATGGTGCTCTCTATGCCCTCGGCGGTTTTGACGACAACTCACCTCTATGTACCTGTGAACGCTACGATCCGCATACGGATCAATGGACCCAGCTGGCAAATATGACGTTCTCAAGAGGTTTGTGTTTTACAAGGTTTTTTCTTCTGCGGACTTCGTTCATTGCCTGAACTAGCCCCCCTAACTCACTCAGGAAGTCTTGAGTTAGACCGGGGCTAGTAATAAAGCTCCGATTAGGTGAAGGTGACTATTGTGCCGTATTGTTCGTTGTGGAGGATGGGGCGTGTCAGGTAGGCCGAGTTTGGCGCGGCGGCAGCCAGTTCTTCACGAATTGTGGATCGTCTAACACTTTTCGCAGTTTGTAGACTGAAGGCTGACGCCGCGCATCAACCCAGCCCCCTGACACACCCCCGCGTCCGTAACGAACAAGACTGTAGTTAAAGTTCGAGCGAATGACGTGGACATCAACGCCCAGTGATGGAAGTTTCAGGTGAACCTCGGAGAAAGCAGCACTTCCTAGCTGCTGAGCTACCCGGGACTTGATTGATGATGATTTAGCTTTTTCTATCCTAACCTCCTACGAATTTAGGTGGCGTCGGAGTCGCGTCAATGGGCGGTCTCGTCTACGCAATCGGTGGACACGATGGTCAGCGGTATTTGAACACTGTTGAAGCGTACGATCCAGTGACGAACGCCTGGACCCCAGTGACGGACATCAAAGACTGTCGAGCAGGTGCCGGTGTGGCATGGGCGGATTGCAGGTGAGGAGCTCAGTAATGCAGTAATACCTTCATCTGATGATCACTTGTAATCCCGATCCTCCGCTTGTTGGTTTTCCCGACCCAAGACGTCGTAGAGTTTGTCAAACGTGAGGCTTGTGGACAGCCTGAGTGCGGTTAGTTCGACGGGTTTCGGTCCTGTGATAGGCCATGGAGGCTAAAATGCCTTTTAGCCTAAAATGGCTAAAGTGTTCGAGTTGTGCGCGCGTTGAATCGATTGGGAGGGAATGCGGCGCACGCGACTTCACAGAACCACTTTCCCCGCATAGTCAGATCGTTTGACTCACACCCGTGCACCACGACACACTGGCGCAGTTCGGCTTGGTGAGGGCGAACAGTTCTCAGCTTTGATTGTACAGGCAGCTTTGTGACTATATGCGAGCTCCTGTAACCGAAGTGGACCACGTAAACAATTCCGCAGCTACACAGGAGTTTACAGGTGCAAAGAAGGTGAGACTTGTTAGTCAGCATGAACTAACAAAAGGATCTACAAGTGTAATTGCCCCTCCAAGCCGAACAGCGCCAACACTCGTGCTTTTGCGTACGCACCAAATCGACGTAAAGCAGCTGTGCGTCCAGGAATGGGTTTGGCTAGTCTGGGTGGGTGCCTCGACATGACCCACTTGGTGCACCTGACCTCTGGTGTGGGTTTCACTTCAAGTTCTCAGAAAAAGGAGCGCTGCTTGCTTGAGCCAGCGTTGCTTTTTGTAGCCTCTCACCGTAACTGTTGCTTTCCGCATTTCGTGTACCGATTTCCGAACAGGGTATAGACATGGGAACAGGAATGCACAGTGAATACGTCAGGGGTATGTAGATGTCGGCTGGGATGTCCACTTTTATGCTCCTCCACTAGTTAGTTTCTCCTAGCCAATTGACGCGTCGTACTAGCCTTCCCAAGTTGGACCAGTAGGTCTTGGTACGAATGCCACGTGTTGCCAATAACCGTCCCACTTTCGCCGCGTAGCTGCAACTTGGAACTCCAACCGACATGACCCCGTTAAGCTTCTGTCAGCCAGCTCCCGCTCTTTCTGCGAATCAGTGTTCCGAAAATCGGAAATTGGAAATCGGAAGATTGTTGGTTCACGTGGTTGCATTGAAAAGAGAATTGTGTTATTTTTCCAGTATCGACGATCTTCTACGGCCATTCCAACCGGACAGCGGCTATGCGCCATCTGGAGGTAATCACTGTATATAAGCGAAGCTCCTACAAACCTCATAAATGGCATCACACGAAGGCAAAGCTACTCCATGTTATGGATTAACTCGTAATTTCGTGACGTATTGATTTTACTCGTTTTCGCGTACGCGTTTATTGATTTCGCACAAAACTAGGTTTCACGTATAACATTTCTGTACATTATGTCTTTTCATTCATTTGCACTGTACATTTACTTGCTAGTCTTTCCTGCTGCGTTTTTTCTATTTCAAATCATCACCATCGATCAATCCAATCGATTATCGATCGACACTGATTTTGTTGTCTTTACGGCTGCGCCTGAGTGCTAATCGGTCAGCCTAATCGGTTATTGATCGGTATTGATTTTAACGGCTTATGGCTGTATCTTAGCGCTTACTGATCAACGTTTGCGTTTATACTTCAACATTTCGCCACTGAGGTAGACTAGGCGCTACTAGAAGGCAAGTTCTTGCCATCCTTACTCAAAGTCCTGACATCAGTTGCTTAGGTTGTGTTTGTCGTGATCTAATACGGTGTGGATTTTCTCAATTCAATTTCATTAGGTTGTCTAGATTCACTTTATCATTTCCCCTTTCCCTCCATTTCATACGTTGTTCTCGATTCGGTGCATTTTTACGTCTTGCAACACACACAAGTACATACAAACAAGGTTTTCTTTGCATTTTCCACTGGTTTCATGTAGTGGGCGGAGCCTGCAGATGGTGTTTTTTGATCAGTGTCGTCATTTTTTTTCAAAAAAGTACCCGAAGTACTGAAGTGCACGATAAAATGTTCCGACAAACGAGTTGGCGTCAGAAACAGGTCAGAGGAGAATAGACGGGGAACAGGGATAGGTAGCTGAGGCTGCGTTCATACTTCGCGACTGAGCGATTCAGCCGCGCGGTCTTAATGTA